AGGGGTTGTTTTTTTGTGGTCAACTGCATTAGCGCAAGTAGAGCTGGTAGAACTGGCCCTGGCACCGTCAACACCCTCACCAACATGAAAACAACATGCAAGTAGTTAAAGGGGCTCATTTATGAAACCTCTGAATGACCTCTGATGAAAATTCTGCAGTTTTCTTGACTGAGATTAATTCCAATCAAATGTTTCATCAGATTTGACATATTATCCATTTTGGAAACCACTATCTTAAGACACTTGTTGCGCCTGAAACTGTTCTCAGTAACTTTTTCAAAGTACAGCCAGACTTTTGACCTCTTTGACATATTTAGCTGCTGTGCGCTCTCTGCGTTTCTTTGCGTCAGGGAGCCAGTCGCGCTTTTTTGCATTGGTATTAAGGTTAACTCCAATAATCCCCCCTGATTTGCGTTTTATGCAAAGTATCGAAAATAGGCACCAGTCTTTTTTGAGACCCTTTCGGTACTTGGTAGTACCGAGATGCTTTGGTCGGTGCCTTTTTGGCATCGAATTTCGGTACCCAGCCCTACATATTAACCTTTGAAAAATTACCACAAATGTAGAGACATGGACAAAAAAACAAAACCCCAACAGTACCCAAAATAGCTACATTTTCTTCGCAGCTCTAAAAGAAGCAAGATTTAGACAACAAACATGTCTTGGCTAGCCTATAATGGGAATTAAAAAGAAAAAAAGTGTAAATTAAGGTTTTTCAACATAAGTTTCCTTTAGGTTTGCTGTACAACAACTCTGAAACCCGCTTTACCTCTACTGACCCCACTAATGTGTTCTTGCAACACTGAGGGAAGTTTGCAAACACTCACCAAGCCATTCCACCATATCCTTGATGGCAGTGAAGTACTTCTCCTCCTCTTTTTCTGGGTTTGTGTCATCATACCGGAGGAAGCAGATTCCATTATTTGCCTTCGAAGAAAGACAGAGATCTTAAGTAAAGTTACACTTACCAGGTTAAACTTATTGTCTTTTTATACATTTTCTGAGTGTTTGCATAAGTGATCAAAGTGGTCGTAGTACCTTGGCATAACCAAAGTTGAAGTTAATTGCCTTGGCATGGCCTATGTGGAGGATGCCATTCGGTTCAGGGGGAAACCGCGTCCGGACCTGCAAAATGTCGGTGACGTCGGAAGAAGTAAAAGAGATAAAGACAAGATCCCAATCTCTCATTTTCAACATTTTTTAAGTGACATCATGGACACTCACATACCTGTCCACCGGTGATTTCCAGGTGTTGTTTTAGCAAGTTCATGGTGTTGGGTGTCACAATATAACCTTCAGTTTTGTAATTCTCACCTGAAAAGACAAATACATTACATTTTACTCCATCAAACAGTACTGTTACATTAGATAATGTTCTTGCACAATTATGGATAGTCAAACAAACAAAAAAAAAACTTTTCAAAAGTGGAGTTCAAAAAACTTTTAAAAGATAAAGTGAAAATGAGACTCCTAACAACAGTTAGGCTGTTAGGCTGTATAAAAGGCAAAGGATGGCCACATGAATGTGGAAAAATATTAAATTATATTTAGTTGTTATTTTCTGTTAAAAAAATGAAGAGTGTTGTACCAAAACACTGTTTAATCCTTTGTAACTTTTTTGGATATAACATGTTTTGAAAAAGAACATTTGCCTACAATGAAAAACACAGTTATTTCTCTTATACAGACTATATTACAATATAGCTATAAATGTGTAACTTAATATAAGTACTTAATGGCCATTCTGACAGGTAACTAAATATATGAAGGGTGAATTATTTATGTTTGCACAATACTTTACAAGCATATAGGCAGAAACAGATCTTTCAGTATTTTATTGATGACCAGGGGGAAATGCAAGTCCTAAAGCTGAAACAATACTTATATAAAACATATATACCCACGTGATGCACAAACACAAAGTGCAAATATATCAGTGCAAAGAAATGACAGCGAAGAAGACGATAACAGAACAAAAGCAATCACATTTTAATCAAACTAACACTTGAAGTAGAGCGCAATTTAAAAAACAAGGACTGAATGATAGATAAATAAATAAATAACTTTTTGCCAATAATTGGTCGTTTATTGCGGCTCACCTGGCTTATGGAACTTAAGAGCTTCTCCTCTCAACTGCTCCATTAGAGACTTTCCCTCCATCTTAACTTCTCCTATACAGAGCGGAAACACAGAAAGAAAGTAAGCTTCAAACCTTTAATTGCTCTTTATTAAACCATGCTTTGTCTGAAAAGAATAAAGGCCAGTATACTACAAACATGACCCATGGATCATGTCAACCATTTTAATGTTTATGTCCATGTAACTTCATTTAGAAAAGAACATGAAAGACAAAGAAATGTCCTCTTTTCTGTGCAGTTTCACAAAATATAAGTCATTCTGTAGCTCACCGTTCACAGCATTGACCTGCTCCTCTTTCTTCTCTTTCTCTGGGGCTTTGGGTTTAGCTGCCTATGGGACAGGATCATATATGCTAATTAAGGAGCATTAAAGGTAGGTAAATGATGCAAATTTGAAATTCTTTCTGAAATACGACATACATCGTTTATCCCTTTATAACAAAAATGACTTTGATATGTACCTTGGGTTTTTTCTCCAGATCTGCTTCTGTTTTTGGACCCAAGAGATGTAACACCTGAGAAAGCGAAGTATGATTAACACAATGATCATGACAATTTAGCATTGAGACCAGCAATGACTGCATTAACAAAAGTGTGCATGCACACCTGCATGTCCACTTCATTCTTAACAATCTTCCCATCAGCCCATTTTAGGGCAGCTCTGGCTTCACCTAGAGAATACATCAATAAACAGCACAAGTTAGTAAATAACAACAAAACAGTGGGCGTCGTATATCCTTGTTCAATGAAACTGTGCTGGGTAAACCATTCATATATAACCCACATTTGTTCCCCTTTAAGGGCCTATATCCTATATTTTCATGTATTTTATTTATTTATTTTGCTTGAGGTCAACTAAATAACATTTGTGTGGGTTTAAGACACAAAAAAAAACGGTCAATTAACTGTTACATGACCATTTTCCAACCTCTGTTTATCCCTTAAAATTGGACAGCCTGGTTTTGCTACTGTGCTTTGAGACAAATATAAGACAAAAGATAAATGAGCTCTGTTCTGAGCTGCTGTACTGAACTGTACCTCATTCAAAGAGCACTCAGAGTTAAAACATTGCTTATAACTTCAGTGTGAATGGGTGGAGCTAAACTGCTGTAGGCTAAATTAGTGGATATATGTAAATGTATCGGTTCTTGTGACATCAAAGAAACAATAAATTCAAAACAGGCTGTTTTTGCAGCTTAGTTTCCACATATTGACTGTGTAGACTGGGTACTGAACGGTCCGTCTTGAAACTTTACCAGTTTTTACACCTTACTACAAACTCCTTTATTTCAAAAAAGTGGGAAATGTGGTTTTCGATTACATCTTCCGTTATATTATATTATATTATATATGTCTTTCTCACCCATGAGAATCCCCATGTTGAAGCGGTATCTCTCTGCCAGCAGCTGCTCTTTGTGTTTTCTGATGATTAACTCAACCTGTGGAGGCATTGATAAGCATTTAGAAAAACAGATTCCGGCTCTAAAACCTGACTGGCTGAATTACATTTAAAGCCACTGTAGCATTTTTAGTCACAGTTTTCAGCTGTCCAGATTACCAAAAATCAATGTGGATACAATCTGGATGTCCCAAAAAAAATCAAAGTTTGTCTACGATGCATTATTTCATATCAAAACTCATATATATGTAAAGGTTCCCTTGAAAAGACATACTGTCAGTTGTATTCTGGGTAAAATCACTGCATAGTAAAACATCAGCATTTCAGATTTGAAGCTACTCTAAATTACAGTAAAATCCTGAGCTACTGTTCACTGCAATAGCAATTCTGCAATTCTATTCCAACTGTTCTGCTTACCGCATCCTCAATCTGCTCCGGTGTGACAACCACACCCACACCACAAGCAGTTTCAAAGGCATGCTGGTCCAGAGGATCCTGTGGGTGGCTCTTCACGAAGTCCAATGCCGCTGTGCACAAGAGAGGCCCAATCATACATATGAGGAAAGACATACAGATGTGACGGCTGCATAAAGTGCACCTGTGTGGAGGTCGAGGACAGCAAACACCAGGTACCTGACAACTGCAGATCTGTGGTGATCTTGCGTTTGACTATGTGATCTGTCAAAAAGGCCAAACGGCGGGTGTCTCGCAGCCGAGACGCCATACTATACAGCAGGGTCCCCATAGCTTTGTCGATGTCATTAGACCCCAACAGCTGCTGAGCCTACATGACATACCAAAAAAAAAAAAGCAAGTTACATCTGTATTGCTTGTATGCACACACCCATTACACTCATCCACCCCTACATACCTGAGTCGCCAACATATTTGAGTCAATGAATCAGTGATGTTTACTATAAGTACACAATGTATTTCGAAAGTGAAAGAGGTTAAGTAATGTTAAGAAAAACTGACTAACACTAATTTGTCTTAAAAAAATACAGTAACTTTGACACCCGTGCGCATAATTAAATAAATCCAAACTTAAAAGAAATAAGCAAAAATTAAATAGTGCTAATAACTGAACGCATCAGCTCCACAGTGCAGTGACAGCTGGTGCTAACTAGCTAGCCATGTTAGCCGGCTATGCATAGCGTTTAAAACGTAACTAAGCACAACCAGGTTTGTTTTTCCAATTTACCTGCACAATAGCGTCTTTGAGAGCTGAACTAAGGCCTTCATTCTTTAACGTCTCCTTAGCTTTCTGCTCACTAAGCCCAACTGAGGTGAAAAGAGCCACCAAATCCGCCATGTCCCTTCAGCCACACACAGCCACACACTGCCACACGCCGCAAGAGGAGCGGTACGGAGCTTCCGGCAAGGAGCGGGATTAGCCAATCAGAGCCGACCTTGTTCAAGGTTCTTCCAATCATAACGCAATTTGTAGCGACGTTGATCTTCGACTAGCAACTTGCAAAGTCTTGCATCAGTTTTGAGTAAGATATAATGAATTTTACGGAATGCAGGCAACGCAGCTGCAAATTATGAAAGCGAAAGTTATGAAAACACCCTGTAAAGAATGTTTTATGTGAACGGAACAGACATAAGAGCCCTTCGGTAACCATATACAGTCAGAAACTGTTCAGGGTTCCTTTAATTTCGTGGTTTCCGATCGCTCTGTCTCGTTCATTCGCTTCTTTTGGAAAAGACTGTTTACACTCTGACCTGTGAGTAGAATTTAGATCATATGTTGATCACATGTTCCTCATCATATACATAAACATCACATCATGTACTTCCTCATGTAGTGATCATCGTGTATCGTACAGCTGTCCATCAAATATGCTAACATTACATCTATAATTTTTCAGTTGTACCTGACTCGCTAATTACATAGTAAAAAGCCTCTGAGGGGCCGTCTTTGAAAAAATGCGTTCCCTCGCAATAATTTTGCATTCTCTCGCAAACGTTTTGCGCTCCGTCGCAATAATTTTGCATTCCCCTGCAGAAAACTGAAAATATAACTAATATTTCACCTGTCTATACTTTAAAAAGGTGGTTCTTCAATGATTCTTAAGTAAAGGCAACGGTTCTTTTTACGACAATGAGTTCTGTATAGAACCATTTGCATGCTTAAATGGTTCTTTGCATGGCGAAATGGTTCCTCAGATTGATGGAGGATGTGTCTATGGTTCTATACGGATCCTTTTTGAAAATGGCTCTATAGAGCACCAAAAAGGGTTTTTTCATTTTTCATGTTTGACATCAGAACAATAGCAGAACCATTTTCAAAAAGGTTCTATATAGAACCACATACACCACATTCTCCATCAATCTGAGGAACCATTCCACCATGCAAAGAAAAATTTAAGCATGACTGGTTCTGTATAGAACTCATGGTGATAAAAAGAGCCAATACTTTTACTAAAGAAAGAAGAAGAGCCATCTTTTTAAGTGAATAGGCCAATGTTGATTCAGATACATTTATAAGATATATGAATTGCATTACATAGATTCCATATTATCATTACAGAGAAATGCAACATTTATTTTAGTAGAGTTACAAATGCAGTAAAATGAATAAAATAAAATGTGGTCAATTTAGCGTAGCAGCCGAGCATCACCTGAATGTTCTGCTCTACAACATGTCAATCTCTGGAGACTCTTATATTCACAGCTTCCAAACTGTAATTAATTCACTCACACCTGCACATTTGTATGTTAAAATCATTAGCAGAAACAGCAATTTAGCCTGTTTTGATTTTATTTACTGTAATACTTTCCACTGGTAATCATATTAATTACTTCATGCAGAATCAAGATGAGATTGAGGAGTAAATGAATCATTATATCTTCATGGTACAAAGAACACAGATTACTACAGCGTTACACTTTTCTCAGGTCTGGTGAGTGAGGCTCTGATACCTTGGCTTCTCTGTAATGCTGTGCTGGGGAACAACAACAAAGTTTCAAATAAATCTGTATGCCACCACCCACAGTCTGAGCACATCAATTAGGTACTCCTTCTACACTGTAGAGTGGGGTTCAATTCCCCACCTGGGTAAGCACCCTACACTATACCAATAAGGGTCCTTGGGCAATCCTCTTAACACTACCTTCGCCTACCTGTGTAAAAATGATCAAATTGTAAGCCGCTCTCGATAAGAGCGTCTGCCAAATGCCATAAATGTAAAAGCAATAAAACAAAAAAGGGAAAAACCATCCTGAAGGTGACAAATGTTAAAATTCAAGTTAATTGTCCAAGGTTGATGGGCAAAACTGTATTAGACTAGATTTCCCCTAACCTAGCCTCATAAGCCTGTATACCTGTAAAACTATGGGGGGAAAAAACATTTTATAGAAAACAAACCTTATAGTTGACACCTATGGTACAATACTTACATCATCAAATTGTGAATTATCGGCCAAATCTATGCATCATGCATCCCTAAATCTTTGTTCGTTTTCAGAATTAGCGCTGCTAAATTTAGTGCATGTTCATGAAGCTCAAAAATGTATTATTGATTATTACTGTCTGTGTCAGTTCTTAACAGTGATATGGTCTGATTTATTGACCGCCCTGACTGATAAAGATCTGCGTTGATTTGTTTCTTCATCAGGGATCATTTGACTCCCATCATCATCTCCCCTCATGGTCTAAGTGTGGTCCAGCACCAGAATGTCCCAGCATGCTTTGCTCTCTGCGGGGGCCAAGGCATGGCGTTCCATCCCCTGCTTACGCTCCGAGCTTCGGCTGGATTTAACACTGGGATGTGGACAAACTTTCAGGTAAAAATGACAGCTTTGCTTAAATGCTGGTGACAGAAGAGTTAGAAATTACTTAGTTTGTAATCAAATACCTTCACTCACAAATCAGCAGCTTCTCCACTGTGGTTTGTCAGTGTTTTAGTTTGGCACTGCCGACGTAATCCTGCCATTTAATGTGCCTTTGGTAGAACTTCAGTAAACTGAAGAGAAGGAGGTAGAATGGACTGCTAATCCTAAAGTGGATAGTTTAGCAAAACAACTCATTTTGGAGCTACAAGGCCACTGTAGCCAACAAGTAATAGAAGCTTATGCACACAGATTAGCATAAAGTAAACTGCTTGTCTAAATCATCACACATATAAAGTCTTGAGTTGTAGAGTGACCTCAAATAGCCTTGCTTATGTCATTTCTTAACATTGTATGACATGGCAGTATCTAAAACAATGGACAAAAAAGTTTCAAGATGATTACTGCGTCTCTTTCTAGCTCTGTGACATACATTTGTCCATTTCTGTAGATAACAATGTCATAAAGTGTCAGAGACCATATAAGCAAATCGGTTTAAAATTATTTACCATAACTTGATGGAGTTTGAGACAATTGTGACATGACTAAAGCTTTTCAATTTGTATAAGTTTCCATTACTTGTTAGCTACATTAGCCTTATAGTTCTAGTGCAAAACTAATGAAGCAAACCTTGGACACCAAACTTGTCTTGATTTTTGGCTAAACTATCACTTTAATTCCTCCAGATGGCGTGAAACAGGGGAAGACCACTGGACAGGAGTGATGGGGGGACGAGTGTGGACACTTACTCAGACAGAGGACACTTTATGGTACCATGTCTACAGGTGCCAAGGAAATCCAGAGCTAGACAATGGACAGAAAAGGAAAGCAGGGTTGGGGCCACAGTGCTCTGGAAAGAAGTTAAAAGGAGTGAAGGACGTGAAGGGGGAAGACGATGAGCTGGATCTTGACACTGTGAGCTCTGAGCAGGAGAAGAAAGAGGAGACGCTTCTGAGAGACTATTTCCAGTTGAGCGTTAAACTAGTAGACCTGTACAAAGAGTGGAGCGGTACAGATCAACACTTCAACCACACGGGCAACATCTTCACAGGTAAACTATCCAGTATGACTCGATCAGCTCTACTTACAGATCCACTAAGTCATACTGCCTCTACTTACAGATTAAATCAGAGCAAGGCTGTTAGCTTAAGCTACTTTTAATACATATCCTTGTTAGCACCAGAGGCTCACATTAGCTTAGCAAGAAGGCTAGACCACCAGCACATCTGTCTCACTGAGGCAAGTTTAGAGGATAAAGACTGAAATCTGAGCGAGTGAAGTAAAGTGACAGAAAGACAGAAACTTTTACAGTGGGAGCTTATTTTTGTTTCTGCTCTGCCTCGTCATTCAAAATTAGAGACAACATGCAGGTTGAAAAAACAGGGCAGCAAGGGGGCGTTTACAATTTGCATAATCATGCATATTTGTAGTTGTTTGCATTCTTAATGAGTCTTGAGGCTTAGGGATGCTCCTATGCCATTTTTAGTAGTTTCTTGGCCAAAACCATAATATATAAAAAATATTTAACAATTTATTATATAACAGATATTTTCAGTAATTATGTCTATTGTGTGTATGTGGGCCTCAGGTGTGCGGATGTTGCGTCAGGACCCTGTAGAGTGTCTCTTCTCCTTCATCTGCAGCTCTAATAATCACATCTCACGGATTCAGGGCATGGTAGAGCGACTCTGTAGCACACTGGGGACGCCGCTCTGCACACTGGATGACACACACTATCACAATTTCCCCTCCATACAGGCTCTGGCAGGTATGCAAGCACGCACATTTGTTTACACACAGTACTGCAAGCTTTTCTTCTTCCATGTTCTCATTGGTTCACACATTAACAGCAGTTTCCAAATCGCTAATAGATATTTAGCTCCAAAGAACCTCACTGAAATGTTTACAGCGATGGTTTGGCTGTTGACAAGCCAAGATGTGTTTGGTGTCCGAAGTTTTGCTCAGAAATGTTGCTAACAATGCATGCTTACAGCCAGCTGTTTAGCATGGTGCAAACTGCGTGCATAAATAATAAATAAATTGGTAAGTAATCTAAAATAGACTTGCTTATGTGGTTTCTGACATGATAACAATGGACTAAATTACATTAGCCATCTTGTAACCTGAATTCTGTCTATTTTTAGCAACATCACACTCGTAGCTCCAGTGTGAAACCAAGTCCACTTAGTCCTTTGTCCATTTTTCTCCTTTCTATGTTTGAGGCAGACAGTAAGGTGGAGGCTTGTCTGCGGGATTTAGGCTTTGGCTACCGTGCTCGTTTCATGCAGCAGAGTGCGAACCTCATTATGAGCTCCCATGGTCCTGACTGGCTCCATAACCTCCGCAGCGTCCCCTACCTGCAGGCCAGGGAAGCTCTCCGGACACTCCCTGGTGTTGGCCTCAAGGTAGCTGTTCATTTTTCTGTTAATGCTACCACATCCCATTACAGAGTAGGTGTATCGCAGCTCGCGACAATTCTCACACCCAAGCATTGTAGCCAGAATTTTCTCTAAAGGTGATCTTTAAGATCTCTAAAAATGGTCTGAGAATCACAAGATTCTAGTTCTGCTCTTGCAAAATAATTTGATTTCAAGTCTTACATGTTGTTTTTGAATTGTTGACACCATTGGCTTTTCCAGACTTTTTCCAGTTCAGTTTTTCCATAAATCAGTGCATACACTGTCAGCTGTGCACTTTTCTGTTTACATGACAGGACAAACACAACCTCAGGATTTAATAGGAACTTGTGAAAAAATCCTAAAACTAGTGATTACCTCCATAAATTGTAAAGGAATCACTCATTTTGGGATTTTTTCACCGCTTCCTATTAAGGATGGAATAGAAGCCCAATAAATCCTAGTAAGATGAAATCAATTTTTCAAAAATTCTGGCTAATTCAGTTTTTAATATGTGAGCAGATTCATTGTTCTGAAGTTTGATCTGAAGTGCTTCATTCTAGAGAAACATTCAAAATTGTTCAATGAGGTTGTGATAGGAACGAGACATCCACATTTCATACCTCTGAGGTACATGCAAGGCATTGTAAGGCAAAATAGTTCAGAAAGAAAATTCTTGGAATTGACCACCAACTGTTATCAACATTACATATAAAACTCCTCACTGGTCATTTTGGTTGGCAAATGAAACGGTTACATGAGATGCAGACATCACAATCCCTGGTTCCTGTCACCCTTACTGTCAATCAGATCTTCATTTCTCCAACTTTCTCCAACTATTTTACATGAAACCATGTTTGTTTATATCTCAGCGATTGAATTTTGCAGAAATGTTAAAAAGTCGGTGGAATTCCCCTTTAAATGCATGATGCTGTCTGTTGCTTGGATTTTAATAGTCCTTTAGTGTATACAGGACCAGCAGGTAAAGGTACGTTATCACAAAAAGGTACAGTACAGGTACATTTTTGTTTATTAAGGTACAAACAATGTAAATGTAACTTCAAAGGTACCGCAAAGTCTTTAAGGTCCGATTGTGTACCTTTTCATAACCGAACATTTTGCAATAGATAAATAATATAGAAAATAGAGTGTGCAGAGTTACACACACATTATACAAGCTGCTAAACCTTCTGGGTCACAGCTGGGATAGGCTGGACCGGTTATTGGGTGGAAAGCAGGAAACAACCTGGACAGGTCGCGAGTCCATCGCAGGGCAGACAAACAGACACATACATTCACACACGCTCACACCAAGGGGCAATTTAGTGTGTCCAGTTGGCCTGGCTGCATGTCATTGGACTGTGGGAGGAAACCAGAGCACCCAGCCGACTGTGGTTGCCCAGCTGGGAAATCGATCCCAGGCCCTTCTTGCTGTGAATGGCTGTAGCATCACTGTCATCACTGTAGCATCATCATGAGGAAAGGGCAGTCGAGCATTAAGCACTGTAATAGATATTCTGTTACTCGTCTTTTATTTTGTGCAGGTGGCTGACTGTGTGTGTTTGATGTCGCTGGATAAGTCTGAAGCTGTCCCTGTGGACACACACGTGTGGCAGATTGCTAAGCGGGACTATAGCTGTGCTGCAGGAAACGGACAGAAGACTCTGACTGATAAGGTCTACAATGAGATTGGTGAGTTAAATAACCAACACGCTAACCTCACTATCCTCCACTTGTCCATTTCTTTATATCTTGAAGGTTGATAAACTGCTGTTGAAGCTATGTGAACTATAGTAAATTACATTTGTAGTCATTTTTTGGGCAGGGGGGGCATTTTGGAGCACATAGCTGTCTAACTGGAAGATTCATTTGGTTATTCTGAGCACAAGTGTGTGCATATTGAGTGCAGCCCAAGGGACCGTTGGCCGATATTGTTGGCCGTAGTTGGCAACCTGCAATTTCAGCTGTATCTTTGGACACAGTGTTGCCAAGATTCAAAATCACAATCTCCCAATGATAGAGAGTCAATATTAGACATTCCCCACTCTCACCTAAATCCAATGGGGAACCTAATGGAATTTACTTCCTGTTAAAACATATCATACCAATACAGAACTGATACAGAATACAAAACACCATAATGGTTGAAATAACAAAAGCATGCAAACTACATCCAAACCTGGCCTGTAGTGTGAAAATAATATTACAGCATAAAATATCTTTTCATGAAAAGAACTAATATGAAAATACGAAAATATGAAAAATGAGAGGCATTTAACAGAAACCAAAACCACAATTATCTCCACCCCTAGTGCTACAATATGTAAGTTAACAGTGTGACTTTCTGCTTTTTATTTGAGTTTAAGAAGCGTGCAACTTCAGAACTGGTCCTCATAGTACTATTAAACTAAACCTTAGTTACAAAGTTAACTAATTACAAAATTAAAATATAAAATTTAAATGTAAAATGAAAAAAAAAAAATTATCAGCCAATATCATTGATTATTTGATTTGTTTTTAGCCCTGTGAAATGCTAATATAAAGCCCTAATGGAACCGGATTAGTTTAACCTGAGGAAGTAATGCAATTTACATGATCACCAATGAGACCCGTGATCTGTGATTTTAATACAAATCTACAATGTTTGCGGTTTTTACAGTCTTACACAGTAATAACTGTGGAATGAATAGTCTTCTGAAATTGGCTAAATCCGAACCTCCCTCAGTAATAATCGTTCTGTTCTATTCACCTCTACGCTAATGTAATTATAGATACAACCGTGCACTGTGTTGTTATTGTTAGTGAGTGTGATGCTTGTCTGGCTGACCTGAACGTCTGGACTTTAATCTGGGTGATCTGTTCTCATATGGGGAAAATTTACAGTTACATTATCCTGGTGGAGTTATTCGGTCAAAATCCTTTGCAAATTATATTACACAGTTTCTACAGGTAAAACTAATCCAGCTCGAATGCAGCTTTAGTAAGTTTAGGTTTTAGATTTTAATGCTTTACACCCTGTTTATAATATTTGATTTTGTCACTCTTTACAGGGGAGTTCTTCAGAAAGTTGTGGGGTCCCTATGCTGGCTGGGCCCACTCTGTGAGTAAAAGGCTCTTAAACCTCTTTTTATTCATTCTTCATTCATTTCCTGCTTTCTCATTTCTTATCTCTCACTCTCCATCTCTCTCTTTCTTTCTTTATTGCTCTGTCTTGCGCTCTCTAATCTCTCTTTTTCTCTCTTTCTCTCATCTCTGTCTTACGTTCTCTAATCTCTTCCTGTCCCTCTTTCTTATTCTCTCACTTTAATCTCTCTCCCTGTCTCTTTAATCTCTTTCCCTCTTATTCTCTCTCTCTCATCTCTCTTCCTCTCCCTCTCTCTCATTCTCTCTCTCTAATCTCTCTTTTTCATTTTCTGTAATTCTCTTTCTCATCTGTCTCCTATCTCTCTTTTCTCTTCTCATATCTCTCATCCCTTTCTCTCGTCTGTCTCTCATCTATCTGTCATCTGTCAGCTCACTCTCTCCTCTTTCTCTCATCTCTCGCTCCTTTCACTCTTTCCTCTCTATCTCTCATCTCACTCTTTCTCTCTCATTTCTCTCTCTCATTTCACTTTCTCTCATCTCACTCCCTCTTATCTGTCTCTCTCATCTATCACTCTTTTTGTTCTCTTTCCTCTCTCTCTCTCATCTCACTCTCCTCTTTCTCTCATCTCTCTGTCTCATATCTATCATCTCTTTCTCTCTCGCTGTCTTACCACTCTCTCTCATCTCTCCCTCATCTCTCTTTATTTCTCATTTCTCTCTCTCTTTCAGGTGCTATTCTGTGCTGATCTAAAGAAGTTCCAGAATTTGAAAGAAGTGGCCATAAAAGAAGAAAAAGGGGAAAAAATTGATAAAAACAGAAAGACAAGCAGTAAGAAGAAAAAGATGATTAAAAAGGAAGAAGAGGGAGGAGAGTGATGTCAGTAGTCAGCTGTACTCTTTTGCTGCTTACTCCTTCGCTGTCTGTGTTGGATGGACATCGTAGCAGTTTTCTGTTGAGCAGAAGAAACACTCAGGAATGAATTCAAGCTTTTTTGTATTTCTGTCCATATTTGTGATAAAGTGTTTTATTCTTTTTAGTAGAGGTTTTAGCTGATCCTGAAGATGTCTCAGAATCCAGCCTCTGTCACTGATCTGTCCACTGTGTCCTTTGTTTTTAAAGGGTTTTCTTCTGAAAGTGAACATTGCCTTAACATCCTTTATGTCGGTGAATATTTCTGTAACCATTAATGATAAAATTGTATATAAAACTGTTGCGTTGGTTCCCTCAGAGAAGCAATTCCAAAGCTTTAATTTTTCCAACAAAGAAAGCAGTTCAAAGTGCACTAAAGAAAATGATATAAAATGACCAAAATATTCACCAAACAGCACAAGTTAATTTAATATTCCTTTAATATAAAAAGTAATAAGTAAAACAATTTAAAGACATCAGCGCAATGAGGAAAAATGTGAAGGACATAAAGTAACTTCCAGAATGTGCACTAGGTGGCGATAAAGATCAAACAAATGGCCTCTGCCTGGTCCATGTAACACCAACCATATTTTTTTGATTGATCACTGTTCAAACATTGCCTTCTTTTATGTACTTTTGCAGCATAGCAGCAGACTTTTACAGGAAACAAACTGCTGATTAATATGTGACTTTCACTGTCAAAATAACTCCATGATTCTCTGAACTAAATTCAGTATACTGGGAACTGATACTGACTCTCCTTCAGCAGAGCAGATTCAGGTGAGAGTGGGGAAAAACAATAAATGTATCAAGGAATTATAGTAAATTAGGCATTGATTCATTTTTGCGAGCAAATTAATGTACATCAGACAGGTGCCTTTTTAATTGCTTTGTGCCTGAGCACTTACAGATTATTCTTAACAGAATTACATTTAGCAGTATATATAGTGGAAAAGTGATGTTTCTTTCTTTCTTTTTTTTTTAGAATATGTAATATGTAATGTTTTGTTCACTCCCCTGTCCATACATGGAAACTAAGCTGCAAAAGCATGCTTGGAATTTACTGTTTTTGTGAGGTCACAAAACCAGTGCATTTAAATTCATCTCATTAATCTCAGCAGTGTGTTTTTGCTTGTGCTTTCAAAGAGTGGAAGGTGTTTGTGAGCAAGTTAGAAGAGGACAGGTTTTGTTACAGATTTCTCCAAAGTGCCCCTAGTCATCACATGGGTTTGTTAAAGGGCCTAAGGGATAGAAAAACCTGTTTTTTTTTTAAGTAAAGGAGTTTAAAGTAATACATAAACAATGTTTAAGATTCAAAATGTACCATTCACTACCCAGTTTTGAATTAATTGTTTCTGTGATGTCACAAGAACCAGCTCATTTACATACATACATCTTTTTTGCCTACAGCAGTTTAGTTCTACCCATTCACACCTGGGCTGTGGTCAGCCCTTACAAAACTCAGTAAAATCTTCATTTTAGGTGGAAACAGAGGTGCGTGAACACTGTCGTGTTACGCAAGCATTAGCATTGTCAGCATTCTTTTTCGAAGAATTTTCAGAGCCTGATGAAATGGGTTAAAATACATGTTTAATACTTCAAAATATGTCTTCAACGCCTTCAATTGTATATATATATGTATATATGATATAGGCCCTTTAAATTCCTTCACCAGCACACCTGATATAACTTAATGTAAAATAGATTTGCCAAAGCAGGTGTTAGATGATAACTACAGTTAATACAGGGTTTCCCAGAGGACAGGTTTGGAAATGGTTAGGAAGGAACAAACTGATACATTATATCACTACTTGTGTTCAAGTTATTTGGATTTATTATAAAATTTTATAAGCAAATACTTTTGCCTAGATTAATGGCATTTTTAAATATAAATGCCTGGGGTGCCTACATTTTTGCACAACACTACATATATCAAGGATAAAGAGAGGTTGGAGGTAAAGTAGAAATGAATTACACCCAAATCCACACTCATTAGTGAACCTCAGGAGAAAAGAAAATAGCATACAGGCCATGAAACAGTCAGACATAACTAGCAAGCTATATGGAAGTAAGCTGTGTGGTATGGTGGGTGGGTGTGTATGGTTGGGGACTGGCTCCTTTACATTCATTCGAAGGCTTGTCTACTGTGTCAGCAATTCTCAATATAGTGGCACAAGCAGTTGTTTGCTGGGGTGTCTGTATCTGTTTGAAATCAGCAAATCCGCTGTGTGTGTGTGTATTACTGGGAAACTTCAGCACTTGAGATGCTGGGATTCTGCCTGTTTTATGCTCATTGTTGCATTATCATATTGAATGTTATGCAGTGAATGTTGGCCAAAATACTTTGAAAAAATAGTGATGGCTGAATACTGAACATACTGTCCTAAACATATTCAGTAATGTATTCTATTACAATACACAAAAACGTAACATTCAGAACTCATTTAGAAAACATTTAGAATACATATTGATAATGGAAGATGGGAAGGATTCAGCTGTCTTCGCTGTTACTGGTTGGCAGTTTTCTTTGTGTAATTCTTCTGTTCTTATGTTTCATATAAATTCCACTTATCATTTGTATGAAGTTACAAAATTCTCAAAACTTTTTTGCACTCCTCGCCTGCTTCAGTCCACCACTGCTTCCAGCAGGAGTCCGGTACAAGACTGATGCTAAGCTTCTCCCTGGTGAACATGTCCACTACTGAAGAGACTGTTCCCTCGAAAGAGCTCAGTAAGCTCAGATTTATCAGTCTACTCAGGCTTTAGCAGAGCTCAGTAACAGTGAGATTAATATCTGATCATCACATATATTTATCAGTCTACTCAGGCTTTAGCAGAGCTCAGTGACACTGAGATTAATAACTGCTCATTACATTGATTTATCAGGCTGCTCAGGCTTTACCAGAGCTCAGTAACACTGAGAACAGTAATTGATCATCACATTGATTTATCAGTCTACTCAGGCTTTAGCAGAGCTCAGTAACAGTGAGATCAATAACTGATCATCACATTGATTTATCAGTCTACTCAGGCTCTAGCTGAGCTCAGTAACACATTAATAACTGGCTCATCACAATGATTTATCAGTTGACTCAGGCTTGAGCAGGAATGTCAAAGTTCCTTTTTAGAGTATGTCTAACTGACTGCGCACTGTGCGCTGACTTTAAAATTGTTAAAAAATGTGTTTGGGATTGTGTGAAGCCATAAATACAACCAACTTCTAAGACCGAACTTTGGAGGTGTGGAAAAACATCCCTACAGATTTCTTTGAAGAACTGAAAGCAAGACTCCTGAGAAGAACGTAAGCTGCAAAGACAAAGTGAGAACACACTAAGTACTAAAAAAGTTGATACTATCTTCTTGTTGAGGCCTCTATGTTATTTTCTCTTAAATATATGTTTTCTGCATTTCGTGATGCTGAAAAATGAATAACTTGTACTTAATGATCATTTTGACTGGAAATTAACTCAATGAAGGCTGGTCTCTAATTTTTGCACAGCACTGTACATGAATGAATGAATAAATGATTGAAATTTGCATCTCTGATGGAAATTGCTTGCAGTCATTTTATATAAAGCTTCATATATGTATGTGTATGTATGTGACTGGTCACATTTGGTTAGTGTGCGTATGGGTTATATAACTCAATGTGCGTGTGTGTGCAGTCACTTGTATAAAACAGTGAGTCAGCTTTAGTCCAGTTAAATCTGGCTGAGAAGGAGGACTGACTTTAGGGCAGAGAGGGAAAGAGAGAGAGAGCGAGAAAGAATGGGAATAAACGTAAGAAGGAAGAGCACAGAAAGTGAGAGAACATGGCTTGGAGACTGTATCAACATGGGTCTGTCCACCGCACAGACATGCATTGCGCACTTTTACGCAAGCACATATGCTGCCTTGACCCTCGAATAACAGCAAAGGAGAGTTTAGTCAGTGGCTTATGTAAGGCTGACCCCATACCACGCTACAGCGGAAAAAACACCACCCTCATACTGAGGGCATGCCAATATCCAGATACCTCACGTAGCAGAAATGCTTTATCCAAGGAGTACCTATTAATCAAAGATGTTTTCGCAGATGCTTTAGATTGTAAAACCAAAGAACAGAACCTTCCAGTTTAGAACCTTCCCAACTGGCTTGTCTGAAGTGGGTGTAAATATTGATATTACAGTGCACGGTTTGATATTAAAGCAGCATTTTTCAACCTAATCTCTATTAGGGATGTGCAACTGATGGGTTTTTCAATGGTTCTTTAGTAAAAGGAATTTGTGTGTGTTCTATATAGAACTCATGGTTACAACCATGAGTTCTATATAGAACTACTTCATGCTGCACGGTGAAATTGTTCTTCAGACTTATAGAGAATGTGTTGTATATGTGTTGAAAATGGTTCTATGTAGCACTAAAAATGGTTCTATGGATACAAGCTTGACATCGTCACGATAGCAGAACCCTTTATGGTGCTATGTAGAACCATTTTCAAAAAGGTTCTATATAGAACCATAGACAGCACATTCTTCATCAGTCTGATGAACCATTTCTCCTCGTAAAGAACCATTTAGGCAAGAAATGGTTCTATTTACCCTTCCTGGATCAGGGCCTTGTCATGGCGGAAGGGCTTGTGTGGTCTAGGGATCTTCAGAGCTAAGTCGTTGGGAGCAATCTGCTCCTGGTAGGGTCACCTCAATGCGAATTAAAATCGCAGAGAAGAAAACTCTGACTGTTGTGTGTGCTTATGCACCAAACAACAGGTCGGAGTATTCAGCCTTCTTGGCGCAAGTGGGCGGGGTTCTGGAAAGGGTCCCGCCTACAGACTCCATAGTCATACTGGGACACTTCAATGCTCATGTTGGCAATGACTGGGAGACCTGGAGAGGTGTGATTGGGAAGAACGGCCTGCCCCATCTAAACCCGAATGGTGAGTTGTTATTGGACTTGTGTGCTAGGCATGGATGGTCCATAACGAACACCAAGTTCCAACCCAAGGATGTTCATAAGTGTACGTGGTACCAGAGCTCCTTGGCTGAAAGGTCAATGATCGACTTTGTTGTCGTTTCATCTACTCGGGACCGTATGTTCTGGACACTCGGGTGAAGAGGGGTGCTGAGCTGTCGACTGATCACCACCTGGTGGTGAGTTGGATCAGATGGCAGGGAAGACTAATGGTCAGACCCGGTAGGCCCAAGCGAATAGCGAGGGTGTGCTGGGAATGACTGCCGGAGGCCCCTGTTCGGAATGATTTAAACTCCCACCTCCGGGAGAGCTCTCTCATGTCCGGCAGGAGGTAGGAGACATGGAGTCTGAATGGACCCTGTTCAAAACCTCCATTGTGGAAGCTGCCAGGCATGGCTGTGGCCAAAAGCTTGTGGGTGCCTGTCAGGGCGGTAACCCAAGAACCACCTGGTGGACACCGGTGGTGAGGGAGGCCGTCAAGCTGAAGAAAGAGGCCTTTAGGGACTGGATGGCCCGGAGGACTCCCGACTCAGCAGATAGGTACCGACCGGCAAAAAAGGTGGCAGAAGCAAAATCCAGGGCATGGGACGAGTTTGGTGGGGCCATGGAAAAAGACTTTCGGTCAGCCTTGAGGAGGTTCTGGACAACTGTCCGGCGACTCAGGAGCGGTCGGGGTGGCTGCGCACAAGCTGTATTCGGCAGGGGTGGAGAAACTCTGAGTTCAAATGAGGATATTGTCGGTTGGCGGAAAGAGCACTTTGAGGAACTCCTTAATCCGGGAGACATGCCTCCCTCACGGGAGTCAGGGCCAGAGGCCTCTGGCGTGTCAAGCTCCATTTCACTGGTGGAGATCACTGAGGTAGTTAGCAAGCTCTTCAGTGGCAAGGCACCGGGGGTGGATGAGATTCGTCCGGAGATGCTTAAGGCTCCGGATATTGTGGGGCTGTCATGGCTGACACGCCTCTGCAATATTGCATGGACCTCAGGAACAGTACCCTTGGACT